GGGGGGGGGGGGGGGGGGGGGCAGATGGTTGACACGCTCACTGAAGTTGTAAAGATGATCAACAATGACTCTTCCGGAGCAGATTTATAGCATTCACTCTCCCTATGTGTGAGAATTCCGGCGTTATTCCTGAAAATGAGAAGCTTCCTGCTTTTTTGGCGCGCTCGCTCGTGCCTTCATCCATCCACCAACAGCGGACATGAGGAATAGGGAATAGATGCACGGAGACCCGCGCTCAGGACCATTTGTCATCGTCTGGCTCCCCGTGCGACGGCGCCCGGCGACATAAATCAGAACGCATCTTTTTGTTGGGTGGAGGGTGACAGCCGATCTGTGAGTCCCGCCCTGCCCTGGGCTGGGCAGCTGTCTCCATTTTTTTTTAAACTAAGACATGATTCGCTGCAGATAGTGACCTGTGACAAATTGTATACATTATTAATCGCATGTCAATTAAGGAGATGGGAATTGTGCATTCTAATGAGGCAGAAACGGCATTTGTCCGTGCCAACCTTGCGAGTCCATTTGCATGCATCTGAGTGGCAGTCAGTGACCACACACGCCAGCTTCCCCTCCACTTCTCTGTCCTCCCTTTTTTAGTTTGTCTTTTTATTGCTTCTCATATCTCCCTCTCATCTCCTTTTTCTCCTTACTTTTAACTGTTTCTGGGTCTCTCCTCTCTCTTACCTTTGTAGTTTGCTCTTTTTTTCTCTCTTTTTATATCCTCCCCCTGTTTTCCTGTCATTTTCTCTGATGCTAGCCTTCTCATTCCCACCATCCATTTTCCTTTTGACCCCGTTATTTGTTTTCTGCTCCTTTTCCACTCTCCTCTCCTGCTGCCTTCTCGCGTCTCCTCTGATAATTTTGTTTGGCTTTTATTCCCTCCATCTCTTAAATCCACCGCCCCTCCTCCCCCCGTCCTCTCCCTTTCTTTTTTTCACCACACCTCTTCTCCTGATCCTCTCCTCCATTCCCCCTTTTTCTTTCCTTTGTTCTCTCTCCTCCTCGGCTGCCTGCTTTCCCACCTCCTCGCGTCTCCCTGCGTCCTCCTCCTCCTCCTCCTCCTCTTCCTCCTCCTCCTCCTCCTCTTCCTCCTCCTCTCTCCCGTCCTGTCATGTCCATCAGCTGGGCTGGCAGTGATGGCAGTAGACGCAGAGATAAGTAGCTTCTTTATAGAGAGTGTGAATGATATGTGGCACGGCCAGTGATTCTAAGTGACAGAGGCCAAACGGTAAGTGATGCAGTGCAGCCGCGTTGTAAACACACGCGCTGCATTAACACACACGGGCGCACACACACGGGGCTGTGCGTGGGGCCTGTAAACACTGGCAGAGGCTGTAATTAATGCTGTCACCCACACTTGTCTTCAGCGCGGACGTGCACACGCAGGGAAAAAGGCCGGCCGCCCCGAGGCCCCCTATTAACATGCGTCATATTAAATCACCGACTTGCCTCCACCAGGTTCCATCGCCATCATCACCGCCATCATCACCGCCATCATCATCACTGCCAGCTCTCCTCTGTTAACGAGGGAGCTGGTGGCGAGCGCCTTTGCGAGCGGGCGGCGGCGGCGGTGGTGGAAGAGAAGATTTTTAAAGTACTTGTGTGGATCTGGTAGAGCGTTTAACCAAATGCCCTCCTCCTCCTCCTCCTCCTCCTCCTCCCCCCTCTCCACCCTTCCTCCTCCTCCTTCTCCCCCCACAGTCGGGTTTGATTATAACGGACTCCACAGAGGTACTGACGCTCACACCACCGCTTCTGAAGCTCCCAGACAAGTATGTGGCACAGTGGCTGAAAGCTGGGCTCCCTCATTGCTTCTGCATGTCTCTTGTAATTGCCACCTCACCTCTGCATGTGCATGTGCGTCTGTGTCAGCCTCCCGTCCTGCTCTTTGTTTCACGTGTGCGACGCACCCCCCCACCCCCCACTCCCCCCTCCCACACTTCCCCGCACCTGGTACTCGCGCACACCTGGATCGCACCTGACATTAAGGCGCCTTTTCCTTGCTTCTCTCTGTGACAGGTGTGCGCCACAGTGTTCTGCCATTTCCTAATTAACAGAGAGGCTAAACGCTTAACACTTTTGACAGGTCAGCGGTCTGGTTTGCGCACGTCTCCCCACTTTTTGCAGATGCCCATAGTCGGCAGTCTTTGGCTTAACACTATACAAACACGGTACCCGCTGTAGATCAGCCCGCCTTAAAGACTGAAACCATGCGGCTCATATTCAACCAGAAGCCAGATGATAACACCTTCCACTTTTCCGCTTAATGGTCACCGCTCCATTCCATTCGAATGTGGTCACACGAAACGAGAGCAACAGAGCCATAAGCCCGCCACATGGCTCCCAAAAATCAAGCACATCCTCTTTTCGGTTCTAAGGTTTTGCATATCAGAACATGGAAATGATCTCATCCTTACCTGGCCAGAATAAAAAAAAAAAGCTATCTTAATTGAAGCCCAGATGTGCAACAGCATGACATGTAACAACATGTCACTTAAAAAAAAGTTTTAAAAAAGGCAGAATGCAAAATCCTAAACCAACACCACTAAAGACATCTTTACTGTGAATTATGAGAGGAAATAGTCTGTGTTTACACAATGCAAAGGAGAGAAAATACGACATCGGGGCTCTTAAAGAATTAACTCATGCTGCCCGTCAGCCTGGAAAATTTTACAAGTCCATTTCCAGGCATTCAAGAATTGAGAGCGGACCTCTCCTCCTGAGTTCAGACCGTGAGCCCGAAGAGCCGCACAAACATCCAGCGCGGTTCTTGAACCACCCCCCAGATGACAAACAAAAGCCTACAGACCTGAATGAAGACGAGGCAGCGCTGTGGGCCAAAGCCTCTGCTGAATCCCAGGATGAGCTTGGCTTTTTAACTAACTGCTTCTACATTTTGGCCGACATTTGCTACATCTGCTTCATCCAATTTGAAGATCTGCTTCGGGCTATAAGACTCTTTGCAGTGCCAATCTATGGAAAAAAAGTTTTGTTTAACCAACACAAAGCCCATCCAGTTGAAACAATCTTCTTCCTTTTTGTCATTATTTTACTTATACTGATATAAAGGCTGAGATTTAAGCAACTGCTGGCATCTCAGATTAGACATTATGCAGATGTGACCCACACAGCTGGGAGAAACTGTCCAAATATGCACATATGTGAAAGCAGTGGGTAGTTTTTAACAAAGTTTTTAAAAGAAGCATGATCCTCAATGGAGGGGAAAATGGCAGAAACATCACAGTTGTGCTTCTGAGCTTGTTCGAAGTCGCATTAGAAAAGGGATGGAGCACGGGAGGAAGTGGGCTTTGACATTCGCAGGGAGCCCCGTTCTAAACTCTGCCCCTCCATCATAATTAATCACCAACACTCAGATTCTCTTCGCGCGGTGAGTGATTGGAGCAGGGAGCAGCAGAAGAGCCCAATTAGATGTAGTGTTGACGCTGCTTTACGGCGACGATAACCTTTAGCATAATGTAGCGCAGCGGTGCCGTCAGCCACGTTTCCTCACAGGACGACGTCGTGGAGGTTCTCGCTTTCCTCTCACGTCTCTGCCTCACCATCTTTCCAGCTGTTCTTCCTTTTTTCTTTTTTTTTTCCCCGTGTGTGATTTTTATGTGATTAATTACTCTTTTTTTTTGTTTTTTTTATATCTCCCACTCTTTCTCCTCCCAGCTTTTCCTGTATTTCTTCTCTCTCTCTCTGTTGCATTTCTGATGATGTATGATAACTGCTATATTTTTTCTGTTTCTTCTTCTGGGGAGAAAAAGGTGCGGGAGGGGCAGTGGGGAGTCATTTGTTTTGCCTCTTTGATATTCTTCCATTTATCAAAATGATAATTAGGTGCAATTAAATGGCACACTCATTTGTTTAGTTCATGCGTATGTGTGTGTGTGTGTTTTACCTCTTTATTCCTTTTTTTTCCTTTTGTATGCCAAGGTGTATGCGCCATTGTAGGTCAGTCTAATTAGAAGAGAGAACATCGGCAGAGTGTGTGTGTGTGTGTGTGTGTGTGTGTGGGGGGGGGTGCATAGGGTGGCCCAGGTGATTGAGAGGAATACACAAAAACAAAAGTAGGACTGTTCAGACAGGGAATATGTGGCATTCTTCTCCAGATGGCAGGAAGAAAAGATGACGACTAAGACTTACTCTCCATCTGGGTCAGGCTGGAGAACTTTTTTCCCCAAAAAAAGTTAAATCAGGTGTAAAGGATTAAATGTGTATGCTTCACTTGACCTGCATTATGTTTCCCTGCTTCTGGCTAAATGCCATTATGTGTATTGGTTTATGTTTGTCTGTTTTGGGGTTTTTTCGGTTTGTTTTCTTTCCCCCCAATTTTCCTCTGCAGCATCTCTCATATGTGATCCCTACACTGTCTTTACTTACTCATTCATAGATTTGTCCTCCTCACCTTCGGACCTTGTGTGTGTGTGTTCATGCCCTTTAGGGGAAAGGCCATTCTGCTGCCAGCTCTGCCCATACCGAGCCTCTCAGAAAGGGAACCTAAAGACCCACGTCCAGAGCGTCCACCACATGCCTTTTGACAACAGCCTGTACCCAGATGCGAGGAGCTTATTGCTGAGCCAGGAGGAGCCAGGGGCTCTGGCTGCCAAACATCCACCACAACCACAACAACATTAACGGTAGACCCCTCCAACTGATGGACCCCCTACATGGACCCCAGGACCAGCCCGGTCAGGGACTCGCAGAACCCCCCAAAATCATGTCGCTCTTCTGAAAAGTCTTTAAAAGTTGGACCCAAGACTGTTGATTGACTTTTTATGAGATTTCTTTGAGCCCATCGCCCTTATAAATGACCTTATAGGATTTTTTTTCTAATATAAAGCCTCTTGTAGTTTTTACAAATGATTTTTAATGCTGTAATTTAAGCAGGAAGTAGTGCCTCCCCACGCAATGGGAAGGCTTAGGGTGAAAGTGTGCTGTGAGGAAGCCGGAGAACCGTGGAGCAGGCCCGCCAATATTCAGTCTTTTGCTTTTAAAGGCCTCCTTTCACACGGAGGCCGCGTCGTCTTTACAGATATCCGTGTCGGGAAGGCTTCGGAGTCGATGTGTCAGCATCCTGCTGCCAATTCGGAGGTACCGACGAGTGAAGTTGCCAAGAGCAGCTTTACGGGAAAAGTAAAGTTTTTCTGCAAAAACGAGCAGAAAAAAAAAAGGAACTTTTGTGCAGCTGCTAGCCTTTTTAATCAAGAATGGTGGCTTTGCCGCTCCAGTTGCCCCACTCCCCCATCTCTTTCAATGCTTTTAAAATGTTAGCTTTACGGTTTGTGAGAGTTTGTGCATTTCTCAGGACAACAGCCGCTGCAAAGAGCAGACCCTCCGGGGGTCCGGGCTCTCTTCAGAGGGCAGGGAGCGAAGTCCCCCCTTCCACTTAACGAACGTGGTTTAGTGGCCGCACCGAGGCTGCGGAGATGGCGATTAGACGGAGAGAGGTGGGACTAGCAAAGAGAGAGAGCGCTAATGGCGATGTCTGCTTAAGTGCTCATTAAAAGAAGGCGTGCGTTTTTAATAGCCAATATAAACGAGCGCCCCCTTTTCATGGCCATTCAATTATTGTCAGTGTAAAAGTAAAAGGGACTGAGCGGATCCCCCCCCACACCCCCATAAATGCCTCACATTAGTGTTTCTCCTGATTTAAAATTAGACTTATTTGACAAGATGGAGGAAGTCGATTCTCATCCTATATTGAAGAGATTATTCTAAACTTTGTGTACTTAGAAGGAAGGACAGGGTTTTCTTTCTGGGTTTTTTTGCATTGAAAAAGAGTCACTTTGACATTTTTGGCTTAAAAACTGTGTTAAGATGTCTAAATCAAAAATGTGGTCTCATCATTAAGTAGTCTTGATACTTGAGATATACCCTCATTCCGCTCCTCAGTAATGTCCGGGTCCTGGCTGTGGGGAGGACGCATCTCACCTGTTGCCCCTGATCTCCAGTCCACTTCTTGTGTCATGTGACACAGCCCACGTTTGATAAATCGGTTAAAGGGCCAGATGCCTCTGTTTTGGATCTGTGCTCATTTTTTCCCATCCTTATCTTTTAAGGAGATCACTTTCAGATGTCAATCTTCATATTCATCGATTTTAGGATTTGCGTGTGTCCAGTCTCCTCCGTTTATTTTAAAGGACACACCCTGCTGAGATTTACCAAGTTTTAGGATAAAATCCCTTTTTTATTTCCCCCTGCAATATGTTATACCTGTCAAAGAGGGTTGCGGTTGGTGTCTTTCACTGGATCAACAAGACAAAAGGAAGCAAATGATATTTTGATCTTTTATACAGGCTGCTGTATGAAAGGGCCCAAATTCAAAACTTGTCACAGGTCGACTCAACGCTGATTTAATTAGCAGACTTTTGTGCATTTGAATGATTCTGGTATCAAAGTAAAAAAGAAAATATATTGAAAATAGTACAAGACTGGACTGAAAATCTGTTAAAAGAAAAAGGACAATTTGTAAGGATTGCATAAAGTCTGACTCTTTAGAAGTAAATTAAAAAGGAATGAGGGGTGGCTTCAGATTTTCATTAAATGTAAGAGACACTGCAGACATCTGTGTGTGTCAGTATGTGAACCCAGTATTGGCGTTTTTATCCCAGAGCCCCTCAGCCACACGTGAAAACCCAGACACAGAGGTTATGTTACGGGCTGAATCCAAAAGGACCAAAAACCTGCGCCTCGACTCCAGATTGTTTTTTTCCCCCTTCTTTGACCTCTTTCACAAAACTTTTTATCAGTGTAAAATTCATAAGGGAGGAAAAATCAGATCCAGACACTTCTGTTTCTCCCTTTCTCCGCTCCGACCCCAACAAGGACAGATGGACCGCACAGATACAGCGGCGGCCCTTTGCTCTAAGCCCATCCCTCCCAAAATGGGAACCCTCTGCTCTGATACGCTGGCTGCTTTTGTTTGACTCGCAACACGGACGCATTGAATTGAACATATCCGCTATATGTTAACATGCCCGTCAGCCCTCCATCGGCCGGCCATGCGGAGCTGATGCTGTTGTTTGAACATTTAGGCAGACTAATGAGCCGGTCCCCCGCCCCGTCGGTCCGAATCACCGACCGGTGATGTGAAGATTAGCAACTCTGAGGGGCCCGAGTGGGCCGGGGAGCAGCCAGGCAGGATCCAGGGAGTTCAGGGATAAAGGCACCAGGTTGAGATGCTCCAGAGCCCCCACAGACTCTTCGATCTGTCGCAGCCTTAACACAGAGGTGCGTGCGTTCGTGTGTGTGTGTGTGTGTGTGTGTTTGCGCCATTCTTTTAGGCTACGCTCACCACACACCCCTGCGTTGTCCCGCCTCCGTTTAGACGCTTTGGATACTTTCCTACCTCCTTTTTCGCAACAGAGGCCTGTTACAGTTTCTCGAGCAGCCAATTTCTTTGAGTTAAAAAAGACAGAGTACGAGGAAGTACTCTCTATTGTGAGACCTCAGTACTTTCTTCTTTTTTTTTTTTTTTTGCATGGACACAAATTGGAATGGTTGCTATAGCAACGGGTTGTTTGATGCATACAACACTGTGTGCTTGAACAATGCTTATGATGATGATGATGATGATGATTATTATTATTATTATACACAGAAGTGTATATGGCAGGTGTGGGTAGTGAATATACTTGAATCGGATACTCTAGCCTTTGAGGTAGTGTAGTACTAATACCAATGTTGTACAGAATTCCCTTTAAGATTAACTCCTCAGAATTTGTACTCCAAAGTGTGACTTAGAAAACTATGAAGCAGGAGCGAGTGTATGTAATATAAACTGTACATCTGTAATCCACTCTTACCAAACCCTTTATGATGAACCGTGGTAGAGACCAAATGGCATTGCTAGTGCACTTAGACTAGGTTAGTGCTTTAACCGTTCTCATTTTGTCGCTTCGGGCTAAGGTTTCTTTAAGAATGTCTCTTTAACTGTGCCGGCTAACAAGCGCCAGACTCATTTCTGTTTCAGACGGGTGGTTTTCGTTGTTTCTTTTAGAAGAATTCTATAGATTTTGGAATGAGATTTGTCCTGTGCAGGCTTTGCAGCACACGTTTTAAAACTTTTTTTTTTTTTTTAGCTACATGTTCCACATGGAAAGTCTAAAAACTTCTAGGTGCAGCAGTGCTTATTTTTGTCATGATGATGTAAGAGTGAGTTTTTAGTCTTTTTGCTAAACTGTAGGTTTGTTGAGTCGGTAGTCACGGCTGCCCTCCCAGAGGGCCTACCCCCCCCCCTTTTTTCTGTTTGTTCGATTTGGGTTTCTTCATGCTTATCAAGTTGTATTATTTGTGTCCGTTTTGCTCCCCCTCCCCCGTTTATGATTTGTGAGTAATTTACCTTAGATGACATTATTATTCCAAATGTATTTGGTTAATATCTGTATTTATGATCCATTCAGAAAGGATAAGAGAACAGAGGCAGGCAGGAGGATTTGTTTTCCTTTAAAAAAAATAAATAAATCCTGGGTTGTTTTTGTTTTTATACCTTTTTGGTTTTTCAAGCCAGCAAGCCGATGTGAAAGCTCTACCTCGTCTGAGCCATTCTCAGTTCTGTTACACGTTTTTGTTTTTGTTTCGTACATCATTTCAAAAAGATGTAATGTCATGTCCACAAATAAAGACACACAAAATGGCACCTGCTGGCGCCGATTCATCGGGTGATGCTTGTTTGTTTTTTTTTCATTTGCTTCAGCCGCTGTGACCGAGCGCGTCCACGTTCTCAGATGGAGAAAAGCTTAGAGGAGCCACGGTGGTGAAGATTTGATTTCTCCCGGTTAGTCGCGCCGACTGTGTGAAATCTGCAAAGAGTCATGCAGCGCGCCATCTGTGAATGGTGGCAGAATCGTTACAAAAAAACAACAACAAAAACTCAGCATCTCTCCCCCAACTTCTCTGACACAACTTGTTACGCAAACGATGTCCTCATTTATTCCCCTTTTCCACATAGGAAATGTACATATATATATATATATGACCTATTAAAAGGCCCAAATGGTTCGGCTAACACCTTCATAAGCCTTTAAATTAGGAGAAATTCAACACTTGCCATGAGTCTCATATACAGACCCAGTCTGACATAAGCTCATATGTCAAATATTTGTATACTTTTCCTCCGTTTCCTCCGTTTACCCATCTCTATCACTTTCACACAATGGGAGTCCCAAAACTAAAGCTTTAAAAAAACCTTTATTATTGATCTTGACATGAAAGGTAGTTTTCTGATGCAAAATGTTGTTTAAGAGGAAGTATTTTGTCGTTTTTTAATATAGGTATGTGGAGCGATGTCTTACTAACAAAATGCTCTGAGCGGTTTTCTGAGGGGTGAGCTAAGCTAAACGTTAAACTGCATTCTTAAAATTTTATTTAGTCATTCTTTTACTTTTTCTTTATGGGTTTTAAGTGTATTTTTTAAGGCAAACACCCCTCTGATGCCCCTGTTCTGTGTAACATGTATCCTTACTTATGGATCAGGATTCTTATGTGTTTTCTCCTAAGAGAGATACAGAGAGAACCTTTTTTTAATGTGCTAGCACAGAGGAATTGATTGGATGAGAGAGAGCGAGAGAGGGAAGAAGATTGAGGAAAGGCGGCTGAGTGCATGAAAGGATTAGCCTCAATCTCATTGTTGAACC